CTATCAATTCTGGGACTTGAGTTCACAGTATTAGGATGAACCGCAAAACACCAGATAGTAATAGACGGCGCTTTAATTAAGATATTTAACTTTCCACTAACATGGTAGTCTTAAAGAAGGTACCAAAAGCTAAAGGAACATGCATAGACGTTTGAATATAACTTATTTGACGCTTATAGATTATATCTTCGGCTATTTCCATAATGGGCCTCAAAATTCAAGGGGATGTGATTATCATCCATGCATACACGTGATATGTTCCAATGATTGATTTGCAGATTATTAGATGCCTAACTAACATATCATTTCAACAAAGCTTTTTTCGTAGATGCCCCGGGGAGCTTATCTTGGTTTACATCAAGGATCTGCTTTAAACCTTTATCTTTTTTATTAGTTATAGACCAACTTAATTACTAAGTATATTCCAGATTAAGTCTGATAGTATATGTTATTTTCTGATGATATAAATATTAATTAACGAGACTAGACAAGCCCTTAAAACTAAAGGTTTTAGAATTAGTAGAATAAAGACAGAATATATGGAATGCATAAACATAAAAAGAGAAAAGTGAAATTGCTTCTAGCCCCAGTCTGAGCCCCCAAAACACAAAATCCAAGAGCTTAAAATATTTGAAGAGCATATGACCCTTTTGAAAAGACCCTAATGCCACTAGGAAGGAACCCTAGAGGGGGTGAATAGGGTTTATACTAATCTAATCCGATTTATGTCAATTTTAAACTTATTAACAAATTATCCTAGCAAGTGAGAAATAAACAAGATATATGCAAGGATAATAAACTAAGGGCAATATGAAAACAAACAAGATAGTGGGAATATAAACGATAAGCAATAGACAAAAGCGATGTAAGATATGAACACAAAAATAAGTGCGTCAATGCAATCACAAACAAACGATATGATCATGGAGTTCGGTCCCCACGATCTACGTCTCCGCTCCTCACCTTGAGAAGATCTCGACTATCACAATCGGGTTTTCTACACTCACCCGAATAACGTTTATACCTCACAATTTGGTTTTGTAGTTCACCAAAAACTTTACAATCACTCACAATGTAAACACACTAACTACCACCTCAAGTGTTGGTCTCTAGCCCGTGTCTCCCTCAAGTGTTAGGAATTACAACTTCTCTCTAGACATTATCACCTACCCCACTCCTCTTGGGATGATCACGTCTCTTACCACACACTCCTCTTGGTATACTAGTGTAATACAAAGTGAACCTCACAATAATAGCTCAATACAATAAATGTTTGTTCTCTAATATGGATGAGAACACAATATAAGCTCACACTCTAAATCACTAACCCACAACCTCAATTATACTATGAATGTAAATACAATAAGCTCAATAGGTTGTGTGTGAACATACAAGTAAATCAAATCAAACTAAACTCAAATAAACTCTAGCTTATGGAAATGAAAATCAAACATATAAAATAGCTAGATTGAGTTTAGGAAAACTTCTCTATATGATAACAAGAGAGAAGTAGAAGAGTGAATGCTCAAACACCAAAGGATGATCTCCAGTTGCTGTTGTGAAATTCTCTTCACAAACCGAAACTTGAAAATGCTTAAAAGCTTTTTTAAACAAACTTAAACCAAACTTTAAAACCCTTGGTAAACTTTCTTAAAACATTCTCTTAGTTGTTTTTGGTCTAAGGTATGAGGGGTATTTATAGAGACCCTAAGACACAAGAAAATCAAAGCAATTAACCCTATTCACCCCCTCTAGGGTTCCTTCCTAGTGGTATTAGGGTCTTTTCAAAAGGGTCATATGCTCTTCAAATATTTTAAGCTCTTGGATTTTGTGTTTTGGGGGGGGGAATACTTGTAAGGATAGTGGGGGCTAGAAGCAATTTCACTTTTCTCTTTTTAAGTTTATGCATTCCATATATTCTATCTTTATTCTACTAATTCTAAAACCTTTAGTTTTGAGGGCTTGTCTAGTCTCGTTAATTAATATTTATATCATTAGAAAATAACATATACTATCAGACTTAATCTGGAATATACTTAGGAATTAAGTTGGTCTATAACTAATACAAAAAGATAAAGGTTTAAAGCACATCCTTGATGTAAACCAAGATAAGCTCCCCGGGGCATCTAGAAAAAAGCTTTGTTGAAATGATATGTTAGTTAGGCATCTAATAATCTGCAAATCAATCATTGGAACATATCACGTGTATGCATGGATGATAATCACATCCCCTTGAATTTTGAGGCCCATTATGGAAATAGCCGAAGATATAATCTATAAGTGTCAAATAAGTTATATTCAAACGTCTATGCATGTTCCTTTAGCTTTTGGTACCTTCTTTAAGACTACCATGTTAGTGGAAAGTTAAATATCTTAATTAAAGCGCCGTCTATTATTATCTGGTGTTTTGCGGTTCATCCTAATACTGTGAACTCAAGTCCCAGAATTGATAGACCTAGGGGCTGGTTGTCGGCTTGCTTTTTTCTTAAACAAGCTACTACATTAGGTTGAAGTAAAAGTGGAGAACCGGTGGTGGCCATCTTTCCTATATTGGAAAGTTCTTGTACCCAGGTGACTTAATTGGTTAAAAATCTATTTCTTTTCACAGGCTCAGTGCCCGTGAGCTCCTTAAAGCGATATGAGCTGTCAGATATACTGAGTAGCGCGTTGTTTGACTCGTATTACTGCCAAAATCGATTTGCCAATGCTAGCTTTAACTTCTTAGCCTTACTATTTAAACCATCAAATTTCTCTTTATTTTCCTGATGTGGGACTAAATATTAAGGGGTTCACACAAAGTACAACACTGTTAAAACAGATATGAACCTCGTAGATTTCTTCTCAGAAGGAGGACGCCTGGTATTCGTTTGAGCATTGGGGAGTACGTAATATATCCCTCAACCCTCATCTAATTTGTTGCACACCCAGAAACATCATTTTCAATCAGTCGAAGCAAATCTTTGGCACCACAATCTTTGCTAAAATGTACACTTAATTGCTTTTTATATTAGGCCAGTCTGCGTATACTGGCCTCACTTTGTATTGGGCCTACTTCATATTAGCCCGTCCCAAGTGGAGTTTTTGACCGTTACTTATTCTCATCCATACATCGATAGGATTGATTCATCATGAATATATTGAACTGGTTATTGTCTTTTTCTTCAATTCATTCCCATGATGCGCGATGCCAAGTGCGTTGATATGGTGCGGTCCGTCGGTGAATTTAGCCAGAAAAGAAAGAGCCATTTATTTATTGTACGTATTCAAAATCAAGAGTAGAGAGCCATGCGCACGCATCGTCTTAATTTACTAAAGCTAAAATATTTTTAGTCCAGCCTTACGACTCATCATGATTAATTAGCTGTTTTCTTGATCGAAACGTGAGCTATAGTATCTGTTCAACAGATAACGACTGAATTAATTTATAATATTAAAAAACAAAAAAAGATGGTCAAAGTCGTGACAAAATTATGGATCTGAAAATCCTTGAGGTTGGCATATAGCCCATTCTATTTTTTTTAAACTTCAAACCGTTTTTATTTTATAAACTCACAAGTAATAAAGGATCAGTCCTAATGGGCTGGTCCTGATACATTCACATATTGGTAATTAGTAATGGTTAAAGCCTAATAAAGAACATCCAAAGTTGTAGCTCGAGATTGACTCCAATTAGATCGCCAAAAATGGCCTACGATCGAGTCGAGGTTGCATGACCCAATCTTTCCCTTTGCAAACTAAATTCACCTTTATTATTCATAGAATCAAGTGGAGCTTTACTTTTGACTCCTAATTAATTCTCACTGCGTTTGGCTTATCCTTTCTTAGTCGTTTCTTCTTTTTTCCCCCCTTCATTTTTACTCGTTCTTTCTCAAATCTTTTATTAATCTGCTGATATTATAAAAGTGCTGAAAGCCTGAAACCCTAACTTTATATGCTAAGTCAAACGTGCCATTTAATTATTCAATGAATGCTGTCAATCTCAGGAGAGGTAATGTCATACCTAGACTCTTGATTTTGAAGAGAATGATTCATTATGCAAATGCCGCCCAATCTGTTTTTAGATTTCAACCGAGTGAGTGCCACAACCGCAAATTGTTGAGAATTTTGGATGATTATAATTTATAAACACATATTGTAAAGATTTGAAGTTAGTTTTTTAAATTGAACATATGTTTACTTTGTTTTGTGGCAACTGGACCCAATTAGCAGAAGGTCAGATGCATATCCAACAGACCTATATGTGGAGACATTAAATCTACCTAAGGTTATACATGACCCATTCAACGAGCTTATAGACCTGAATATCGTTAGTTCTTTCGTTGTTAGTTTCTTCCCTTCTTCATATATCGATATTTTCTTTATATCGTGTTTGTGGATCTTTGTGTAAGCATATGTTATCATCATTGAAAGCAGGGTCAGCCCTGATATTCTTAATTTTTTACGGGGCCCTAATCAAGCTTTCAAATGAGGGGCTTCTATATATAATATTTCATACATAAATTTTTTTTATAAGATAGCAAAATATTTTTTATTAAAATGAGACAATAAGCACATAATCGTATTAATATCAAAATATTTTTTATTAAAATGAGACAATAAGCACATAATCGTATTAATATTAAAATCAAAAAACTTCTTGATGCTTTATAAATAACACAATTCATACTACATTAAATGGGACCGCCTTGCATTTTGAGCTGCAAAATTATCAATTAAAATGTTCCAATCAAGCTTCTCCAATAATTTTTTCCGATAGATATCATAGCAAATCCATTCAATCTCTCTTGTGACATTGTTAACCATAGATAAGATTTGATGAGCTTCAACTTTGAAAAGCTTCTCTCGGCCGATGCAACTGTAACTGGTATTGTCAATAATACTCTATAAGCAATCCATACATTTGGAAAACAACAATTTAGCCTTTCCATAAAATTCAATACTTCAATTGCTTTTTTTGTTCCTCTTGGTAATGCTTCTCTTAAGATTTAGAGTTCTGAGATTTAGAGTTCTGAAAATAATTTTGTCCCATTAATATCAAAATTTTTGTCATGCTTTAGGAGATCTTCAAGGTTAAGACATGAACACTTCAAACTATCATTATCTGCAGACTTCAACCTCTCCAAATTAAACAAGAAATCAAAAGATTCATCATACTGTTGAAACTGTTCAAATCTACTCTTAAGTGAAGAAAGAGCTTGATCAACGATATATATGAAGTAATTGACTCTAAAGGATTCTTCAGCTCTCATTACCATCTCTTTATTAGCATTTTTATCAAAATGTTTCTTTCTACGAATGATGCGACGTTCACAAAAAATGGGTTCAACTTTCATTCTAACTGTAATTTCTTTAGCCTCAACCATAGCTGCTTCAAATCCATTTTCTCTGTAGCTTTCAAAAAAAGAAATGAGCCCTCTTAAAAGGTCTATAGTAACATCAATTTGCATATCCTCTAATTGCATGATTTTACTTATTTTGTTAATAGCATTCAAAATATCAAACCAAATAACCATACGAAGTAAGAACTCAAAATTCTCAATTTCATATGTTGGTAAGCACTCATCATCACTTTTTGTCTTGGGATCTTCACTAGAACTTGCTAAGTAAATCAAAGCATCTCTTATATCTGGAGCTTAGAATCTTATTGCTTTAATACTTTTAAATTGACCTTCCCAACGAGTTTGTGATAGTGGCTTAAGTGTGAAACCTTTAACATTATCTGTAAGAATTTTCCACCGCTTTGTAGAAGATGCAAACAATGAATATATGCGCTGCACCACTCCGAAAAAAGATGAAGCTTGCGAACAAGAGTTTGCCATATCAGAAAGTACAATGTTAAGACTATGACAACCACAAGGTGTGTAGAATGCTCTAGGATTTATCTCTAATAATCTTCTTTGTACACCTTTATGTTTTCCTTTCATATTAGAACCATTATCATACCGTTGTCCTCTTACATCACCAATATCAAGTTTAAGCTCTTGCAAAATATTTACAAGTTCTTCAAAAAGTCCTCGTCCTGATGTATCATCCACCTTTAAAAATCCTAAAAAGAACTCCTCCATCTTTATTGGGCTTGTTGAAATATTCACGCATCTTAATATAAGTGATATTTGCTCTTCATGGCATGCATCCGGAGTACAATCAAGAATAACAAAAAAGTACTTTGCTTCTTTAATCTTTTGGATGATTAAACTTTTGATCTCATCTGCTATTCGAAGAATAAATTCATTTTGAATTTTGTGACTAAGATAATGATAATGAATTTCTTTCTCTTGAACTAGACGAACATGCTCTTTCATTATTGGATAAAATTTGGCAATCATTTCTATTATACTTAAAAAATTTCTATTATTTTCTCCATAAAGCTTCTCATTATCTCCACGAAATGCCAAACTATTTTTAGCAAGTGTTTTCACAACAGCAACTACTCTCAATAGTACTTTTCTCCAATGTTCTTGTTCTTTGTTGATTTGTTCTTCAACACTTTTATCGGTTGTCGCATTTTGTCGTAATTTGATCTCTAATTCAATCCAACTCTTCATGTTAACAATGTGTTCACTACTTGTTTCATGACTTTTAAGTCTCAACTCTTCATGTTAACAATGTGTTCACTACTTGTTTCATGACTTTTAAGTCTGGCACTGAGATTTCTCTAGTCTCTAACTCCATCATTTGCCAATACTGAGATTTCTCTAGTCTCTAACTCCATCATTTGCCAATTGAATTTTGTTTGCATCATATTTGAACAAATTACAACAAAAACAAAAAACATTGTCCAAAGAATTTGATGCAGCATGGAGGTTGTAACCTCGGAATCCACCAAGGGTGTTCTCTGAATCCACAAAGAACGATCTTTGAATCCACGAAGAGCTTCTAATCCACGAAGAAATATTGAGGAAAAAATGAAATTTTATTAATCAAAAGATATGCCTCTAGGGCTTACAAGACTCTTCTTAAATAGAAAAGAAACAAGACTCCTACAAGGACTCTAATTCCTACAAGGACTCTCAACTTACCAAAAATGATGAAGAATTCCTAAAATATTAAAACTCCTAAAAAGACTCCTTATGATTAGGAAAGTCATCCAGTCAAATCTGAGATCAAATTAGATTTGTTTCCTAAACAAAACAGACTCCTAAAATATTACTAAAAATAGTAAAAAACAGACAAAACTGCAAATATCTCTCAAACCGTAAGAAATTTGGCGAAACTGAGAATGCAAACTGAACCCTAAGGGGATGGTTTGGATGGCTCCATCTCATCGAGATAGTCAATTTTCTTATATAATTTGTCCAATTCCGACGTACGGTTTGAAAGTTACGACCGTTTCTTCGAAACAAGTTATTTTCTTCAACCAGACCCGCATATGGGGTTACGACTGTCCCACTTTGACATAAACGTGTCTGCTAAGTGTTCTACATCAGTCTCCCCTGCTTGAAAAGAGCTCGACCTCGAGCTTACACTTGCATGAATAGCTGTTTCTTCTGGTGGGTAATACTCAAACAAATCTGCAATATTAAAACTAGGAGAAATACCCAAATCTGTAGGAAGGTCAACCACGTAAGCGTTGTCGCTAATCTTCTTCAGTATTTTGCATGGACCATACTTCTTATTCTTCAGCTTGTTGTAGGGGCCCACGGGAAAACGTTCTTTTCGTAGAAACACCATCACCATGTCTCCTTCTTCAAACACCTTCTTCCTCCTGTGTTGATCTGCATTGACTTTATATTTAGTATTAGACTGCTCTATCTTTTCCTTCACCTCCTGCTGGATAGCACGTATCTTTTCAACCATATGATCTGCAGGAACACTCTGTCCGGGAAGCTTAGGCAATGGAACAAGGTCGAGATAATGATTTGGAAGCCTTCCATACACAATCACAAAGGGTGCCTTGCCTGTAGTTCGACTCTCCATACAGTTATAAGCAAACTCAGCATGTGCCAAAGCAAGATCCCACTTTTTCGGTCGATCTCCAGAGATGGATCTAAGAAGATTACCGAGTGTGCGATTGACCACTTCAGTTTGGCAATCTGTTTGAGGGTGATAGGCAGTACTAAACTTAAGAGAAGTATTGAATCGCTGCCACAAAGTTCTCCAAAAGTGAGATAAGAACATAGAATCTCGATCGGATGTAATGGACTTCGGCACTCCATTAAGGCGAACTATCTCCCGAAAGAAAAGATTAGCAAGTTTGCTCGCATCTGCAGTCTTCTTGCACGGAATAAAGTGTGCCATCTTCGAAAACCTATCAACCACAACAAAAACAGAATCCATGCCTCGTTGGGTTAGAGGCGGTCCCAACACAAAGTCCATAGAGATATCATGCCATGGTGCATCAGGAACAGGTAAAGGTGTATACAATCCCGTATTCTGAGACTGTCCCTTAGCAACTTGACAAACTTGACAACGCCGCACATATTTTTCTGCTCCCTTCTTCAACTGAGGCCAGTAATATCGTTCTTCAATGGCTGCAATTATTTTATCACGTCCCAAATGTCCTCCTAGTCCGCCAGCATGAAGCTCTCGAATTATCTACTCTCTTAGTGTTCTGGGGTATGCACAATTGATCGCCATAAAATAGATAATCATCCTGAATATGAAAGCCTTTGACTGATTTATTTTGAAGACAGTCATCCCAAATCTTCTTAAAATCTTCATCCTCTGCATACAGCTCCTTAAGGTACTCAAACGCAATCACTTCAGCCTTCAAAGTTACCAACAATCCATCTCTACTACTGAGTGCATATGCAATCTTATTCTGCTGCCCGGATTTATGCTTCAAAACAAAGGTGAAACGCTGCAGATATGCAATCCAACGAGCATGCATACGGTTGATGGTAGTCTGACTATTAAGGGTCTTCAAGGCCTGATGATCAGTATGAAGCAGAAACTCTCTCGAGATCAAATAGTGCTCCCAATGCTTCAAAGACTGAACTATGGAATATAACTCTAGTTCATATGTGGTCCACTACTGCCGAGCTTCGCTGAGTTTCTCACTATAAAAGGCAACTGGACGCCCTTCCTGAGATAAAACACCACCAATTCCTATGATGGACGCATCACAATCAACTTCAAAGACTTTTTGAAAATCTGGAAGTGCAAGCACAGGTGCGGTGGACAACTTCTCCTTGATCAGTGCAAAGCTACAATCTGCATCTTTCCCCCAATTGCACTTTTCTTTCTTCATGCATTCAGTTATAGGTGCTACAATGCTGCTAAAATTTCTTACAAATCTCCTATAGAATGTTGCTAGGCCATGAAAACTACGAACTTCGTTGACAGTCTTCGGGGTAGGCCAATCTCTAATAGCACGAACCTTCTCTTCATCAACATGAATACCCTCTGCACTAACCACAAATCCTAGAAACACGAGGCTACTGGTCATGAAGTTGCACTTCTTCAGATTGATGTACAACTTATTCTCCTTCAAAACTGTTAGTACCTCCCTCAAGTGGTCCAGATGTGCATCCCCACTCTGGCTATAAATCAGGATATCATCAAAGTAAACTACGACAAACTTGCAGATAAAAGGGTTTTAATACCTGATTCATCAATCGCATGAAAGTGCTAGGGACATTAGAAAGACCAAAAGGCATGACTAACCACTCGTACATGCCTTCTTTTATCTTGAAAGCAGTCTTCCACTCATCTCCTTCCCTAATCCGAATCTGATGATAGCCGCTTTTGAGATCTATCTTGGAGAATACTTTTGAACCAGATAACATGTCTAACATATCTTCCAAGCGTGGAATAGGAAATCTATACTTCACTGTAATCTTGTTGATAGCCCTACTGTCCACACACCTATACTTCACTGTAATCTTGTTGATAGCCCTACTGTCCACACACATACGCCACTCTCCGTTCTTCTTTAGGACTAGTAGTGTTGGCACTGCACATGGACTCATGCTAGGTCGTATAAGGCCCTTCTGGATGAGATCATCCACCTGCTTCAGCAAAATCTCTCCTTCCTTCGGACTCAACCTATAGTGTGGCAGATTTGGTAGTTGAGATCCAGGGATAAGGTCGATCTGATGTTGAACGTCCCTAAGCATGGGTAATTCAGAAGGAAGATCATCAGGCATAACTGCATCAAACTGCTGTAAGTGGGTCTGTACTTCAGGTGAAATTTCGATAGTGACAGACTCCTCTTTTCCTAAAACTACAAGGGCATAAATCTCATCAGATTGCTTCACATCTTTTACAAAGTCTTCATTGTCAACGACCAATGAATTCTTCTTTTCAGCCACATTGGTTTTGACAGGCCCCTTCTCGGTTAGAGGCTTGAGCACAATTCGACGACCATCCTTCTTGAAGATGTAAACATTATCTTTCCCCGTATGCGTGGCATCAACATCAAACTGTCAAGGTCTGCCTAACAACATATGACATGCATCCATCTCTACTACATCACACAATGCCTCATCCACATAAGTTCGGCCAATGGAAAAGGATACTCGACACACTTCATCAACCTGTACGTCATTACCCTTGCGAATCCAACCGATCTTGTAAGGAGCGGGATGCTTCTCCGTCTCCAGCCCTAACTTTTCCACCATGCGCCGAGAGACAATATTCTCACTGCTCCCACTATCAATGATGACATCACAAATTTTCTGTTGCACCGTGCATCTCGTTCGAAAGATGTTATGCCTCTGTGGTGGTTCTTCTGCTCTTGGAGCCAACAATAGTCGCCGCACAACACATGAGAGTTGTTCCCCATCATCATCAGCGTCCAACCCATCATCATAGTCTTCATCATCGTCTCGGTCTGCATCCTCATCTTTATGATCCACCATGTTCACAGTACCTCTTTTAGGGCAGTGATTGGATCGATGACCAGGCTGTCCACATCTGTAACACTTGATCGGGTAAGGCTTGGCATAAGGGTTCGCTAGGGTAGGCTTCTTTGCTGTTGTTGTCGCTGAACCCTTGCCCTTCTCCGTTGTTGCATCCTGCTCAGAAACAGTTTGAGACTGTTTACTTCCACCACGTTTGAAACCCGTGTGCGACCCGTCGGAAGCTGCCCATGATCCTTTACTATTTTGTCCGAGTTGTCGCTCCACCTTCTCGGCTAGGCTAAATGTATCTGCTAAGGTATAGGTCTGTTGTCAAGATACACGATCCTGAATTGCCATCCTTAATCCCCCTATATATCGAGACATCTGTTGGGCCTCGCTCTCGTTCAAGTTGTTGCGAGATGACAGCCGATAAAATTCCTACGTGTACTCATCCATGGTTCTTCCACCTTGCTTACAATTTTGGTACTGCCCGAATAATACTTGTTCATAATCACTTGGTAGAAAACGGGCTCTCTGTAGCTTCTTCATCTTCTCCCACCTTTCGACCTTCGGCTTGCCTTGACGAGATCGATTCGGACAAATAGATTCCCACCAAGCTGAAGCTCCACCTTTGAGTCGGCAGGCCACCAATTTTACCTTGCGTTCTTCTGGGAGCTCCATATACTCGAAGAACCTCTCTACTTTTGCAATCCAATCGAGGAACTCTTCAATATGCAGTTGCCCGTTGAAAGATGGCAGAT